ATGGTATCCATGACCATCTCTACACAGCAAACTTTTTAAAAATAAATACATTTCTTACAATTTCAATATTAGGCCACTGATATGACCCAGTGGGTAAAGATGCTTGCCTAGCAAGCCTAATGATCTGAGTTCAACTTTCTGTTTCCACCTGATGCAAGGAGAGAACCAATTCCTGCAAGGTGTTCTCTGACCTCCACATGTGAACCAAGGCAAATCCATGCACACATAGGAACAAAATAAATAAGTGTAAAAACAAAAAACACCTACTCTTACCCTCAGACAAAGAATTTATAGGCAGTTAATGATTCCGGAGAGATGGAGAATTAACATATCTAAGAGACTCAGGGCTGATCGTCCTAATAGACTACCCAATGCAAAAGAGGTAGCCCTGAAATAATACACACAGAGAGATTCAAAGAAAAATTGGCCATTGAGAGGGAGATGGGGGAACTTGGATGGAAGAAAGGGAAGTGGGAAAATGATGTGATTATATTTTAATTAAAATATAGTAAATGGAAAAAGAACTATAGGCAGTTAATGATTCCAGAGAGAGGGAGAATTAACATATCTGAGAGACTCAGGGCTGATCATCCTAATTGATTATCCAATGCAAAAGAGCCAGCCCTGAAATAATACACACAGAGAGAGTCAAAGAAAAATTGGCCACTGAGCGGGATTTGGGGGAACTTGGAAGGGTTTGGAGGGAAGAAAGGGAAGTGGGAAAATTATGTGATTATATTTTAATTAAAATATAGCAAATGGGTTCCTTGCGTTCTGTTCTGTTCAGTATTTAACTGTGGGTGTTTGCCTCTGTTTCCATCAGTCACTGGATGAAGGCTCCAGGATGGTTATAGACATCAAGTTCACTATCAGGAATGGGCATTCGAGGTGGTCTCTACACTATTGCTTAGCTTGCCAATTGGTGTCATCCGTTTAGATCACTAGAGGTCACAATGGAACCCAGCGACCTAGAGAGAGGAGCGAAGAGCAAATTGGCAAAGAATGGGCTGGCAAAACCAGCAGAGATAGCTGATCCGAACAGGGGAGAGCTCTTGGACCCCAGACCGACAGCTGGGAGGCCAGCATGGGACCAATCCAGACCCCCTGAATGTGAGAGTCAATGAGGAGGCCTGGGCTACTTATGGGGTCCTGAGCAGTGGATCAGTGTTTATCCCTCGAATACTAACAGACATCGTGTGTCCATAACACAAAGAGGGTTGCTCTCTCTGCCTGGACTCTTAGGGAAGTGCCTGGACCCTACCCTGAGTGAAATGATAGACTCTAGATATCCCCTATGTGGAAGGAATTGGCAATAGGGTGGGAGGATGGGGGGGATGGGAGGGTGCAGGAGAAGGGGAGGGAGAGGGAACTGGGATTGACATGTAAAACAAGCTATTTAAAATTAAAATAAATAAAGAAAAAATATAGTAAATGGAAAACTGGAAACAATCATCAAAGTGAGGCTATATACTTTTCTCACATGAATAAAAGAAATCACTTCTTAGATTTAAAAACTTATACCAAAGAAATAAGCACTTTGGAAATAAGGTGTTATTCTGTGAGAAGACAACTGAAGTATCTGCAATGGACAAAGTAAATCAGAACAAGTGGGTTTTATATGATTAAACTGAAAAAGTGTCAAATAGTCCATTTGGTCATGCATCAAAACTATTTAAATTAGGCTTGTATGGGTAGCTCAGTGGGTAAAGCGCTTGGTGATCAAACATGAGGGGAGGAATTCAAATGTCCAGCACCCACTTAGGAGCTAGGTAGGCAAGTGGACTCACCCATAATCCCAGAGTTTGGAGGTTGTGATGAGGCAGGCTGGCTGTCAAGATTAGCTGAGTAGTTGACCACCTGATTCAGCCAGAGAACCTTCATGGATAAATAAAGTGGGAACTTCTGGCCTCTGTATGGCGAGGAAATACTTCCATTTACACCCAACACAACTGAATCCACACAAATGTAAACACACGTACACATGTATGAATATGAATGTTCATGTGTTTAAATTTCTAGGAAAGCTGACTTTTTTCCGGTTTACAAAAACCGTGATGCATTTTGTATTTGATTGTGTTTTAATTTTTGAATACTTCTTCTTAGTCAATATAAAATCCTAATGCTGCAGTTCAAGTAAATCTTCCCATATCTTTCCCTTGAAAGACACTTTTCATAGTTTCTTGACCTGAAATTCAGGGTCCTTCTAGAATTGTATTAAAGTTAGCATATGTTGGTGCATTTTCTTTTAAAGTGATTCCAACAAGTGTGTGCAATCCTTTTTCTTGAACTGGGTTGCCTGGTCCATCCAGCCTTGATATGATGGTTTATGTCAGGTCTTATTGTGACTTGTTATGCTGTGTTTGTTTGATGTCACTGGGAGGCCTGCTCTTTACTGAGGGGAAACAGAGGGCATGTTGATTTGGGGAAAGGGGAGATGGAGTGAGGAGGCAAGGGGAGGGAAGGGAGGGGAAACTGTGGTTGGGATATAATGTATGAGAGAAATAAAAATAATAACCCTTGCAAAAAAAAAAGAAATATGAGCAATCATTATATTTGTGTAAGCCCATGTTTTGTGTTTATGGAAAGGGACAAATTTGGATGTTTTTCTCAATTATGTTAGAGTCTAATTTTTGAAAAAGACTCAGTAAACATGGATGCTACTGATTTGGTAACCCTGACTGGCCAGCTAGCCCAAGGGATCCTATTATCTCCACGTCTCCACTGTTGAGATTTCAGCCAGTGTTTCTATGCCAAGATTTTTAGATGAGTACTGGGGTGTTGAACTCAGATCCTTACTTTTCCTGTCATTTGCCAACAGACACATGCCTTGTAGTGAAATTATTTAATTTTAATTATTTAATCATCACCTGAATGGTATTTTTTCTAGTTGTTACCCAGCCACATTTCCCACACATTATGTGTTAAATTGATTCTGATTCACTAAGAAATCAGAGAAGATTGATAAACAAAGTGATGTTTTGATGTTTCCACTAACTTATGAACATAGATCACATTTTTAGTCACTAATTGATATTTTATTGCAGAAGGGTAAGTAGAAAATGAAAGAAAAGCAATACGCTATCTAGATAGATAGACTGTATATGACTGAATTCTACATAGATAATTGACAACCTTTCCTTTGTAGTGCCTAGCCTGGGTCTCAAATCAGTTATTTTAAATTATCCCTCATGGTGAAATTTATCCATTTATAACACACTTAAATCCAGAAAACCCACAGCTACATAGCATTAACAGCAGGTCAACAGAGAATTACATCTGAAATTCAAAATAAACAAGAAAAAGACCAGTCAATTTGAGACTTGTTAAGTGCATTTTCTATTGATTGCATTCTCTTCCTCCAGCATGAATCCAAAGAAGAAAAACGGGTCCTGTGGCTTTTACTCTTTCCTTCCAAACGAGGAAGGATGGTACCTAGTACAGAAACATAAAATAGCTGTTTCTGCAAAAATGATTACCTTCCTCATCGCTTCCTAATTTACTCCCAGTCCATAAGGTCCTCACTTCCCATGATTTTGATGATGGATGACTCTACTTCAGCTACTACAGGCAAAGATGCTTCGATGTATCACTCTGCAGGATATACAATAGAACAAACGAAGCAGCAGGACTGAATGGCAAGTGGGAGTGCCAAGGGAGATCTCCTCACTGGAGGAGTAGATAGTCGCTGCTGCCTAGAATTATGTAAAATGCAACTTGTAAATATTGCTTCCATTGTGGACACAAGTGTGTGCAACCTGACAGAAAAGGGCAGTGCTAGTACAGGAGAATGCAATAATATTTTCTACCTCAGTGCTTGTATTTTTCCCATGTTCAGATCATGCATTAAACTAAGCTCTGCTTCAGTGAATTGCTGAGGATATATCCATACTGACACACACACACACACACACACACACACACACACACACACACACACACACACACACACGCAATAGAGAAACTTGTAGTTTATCTGAGGTATTTGTTCTGAAGGTTGTGATTCAATATTAGGGTATTGTTTAGTGATTTTGTAATTCTTTCTTAAATTACCTTTCTTGATTACCTTGTATGTCTTTATCAGCTCTTCTGTACAGCTCACCATCCTGTAGAAAAAGGAACCTTGGATTTTCAGTATACACAGATGATGACCCTCATTTCTATCTCTGACCTGGGCACCAGACACAGGAATAAAAATACAGTCTCATAGAAACTAATAAGGGTATGTTCTATGCTCAGAAAGGTTCATTACTAACAGTGTAAGAAAATTTTAGTAATAGTCCTAAAACCGGCAAGATCAACCTTGGTATCTAAGACTTCATTTCAATAATAAACCCAGTGCTTGTTAGCAATTTTACTATTATTGACAGACCAACTTCTGTCTATGAAAGATTCATGCACTCATTCTGACAATTGATTTGTCTTTCTCAAATGAAAACATCTGATCCATGGGAGGAATAGTGTATTATTTGTATTTTTCTTACTTTCATGGAAGAAGAAAACTTACTGTTAGCTTTGTATGCGAGCAGAAAGGGGAGAGAGAAAATGTAAAACTTGTAAGAAATACCCTAAGGGAATTCAAAGCTCCAACATCTGTCAAGTCCCATCACAAACCAAATCCTCCCTCTTCCCAGCTTCTATCTCCCTCCTCTCCCACCCTGCTCCTCCCTCTCCTTCCCTCTCTCAGTCTCTCTGTGTCCTCTCCTGTGTGTGTGTGTGTGTGCATGTGAAGAAACAGTTGATAATCTTAGTGATTGACCCTCATGATAGATAAAGTGCCCTTTATAAGTGAATGACCACAAGATGTGAGCTTTACATTTTACATAATGTAGTACTTATATTTGATGCCCTTAGTTACCCCCCAAATGTTTTGTCATACCTACTTAAAAACAAAAGTTATTTTTTATTCTCAGAAAAAATGAAGCTAATACAGAGAGTTAATGTGAAATAATAATTGGTGCAAGTTTTATTCTCAGGAAAGGACTGACAATTCTACTTCTAGTAGACAGCTGAAGAAAGAACACTGGGTTGTCTCCTTGGTACAACTCAAATAATTGTTTCTTTTTGTGTTTTATACAGTGGTCATCTTTGAAAACGTACTTTGGTCAAAAAAACAATGAAACAAAGTGTGATACCTTTACTATGTGAAATTTTCCTTTATCCATGTGCCATATTAGTTTTCACACTACTAGAACAAAAGACCCAATGAAAGAAACCCAGGAAAGGAAGAGGCCAGCCCGAAAGCCCAGTCATGGTGTTTGTCATACAAAACTGGCAACCTAAGTTTAATCCCTCATTACACAGAAAGATGGGCAGATAGAACCAACTCCATAAGACTATCTGCTGACCTCCATATCAAATGATGGCACAATATGTACATACAATAATGATAATAATTACAGTAGCAAGAACAATAGAAAGAGATGTGGGAGAGGAAGGAAGGAAGTGCTCTGGCCAACAGTATGGTGATGGAGGCAGGCAAGTCACAGCAGCGAGAGCTTGAGACAGAGGCTCTCATTGCATCCAAGTCAGGAAACATTGAATGATTCACCCTTGTGCTTAGCCCATGTACTTTGTGCTGCTCCAGGATTGCAGTCAGGGCATAGTGCCATCTGCATTTAAGATGAGTCTTTTTCACTTCAGTCGACCTAGGAGAAAAGCCCAAAAGTTTGTTTCCACAGTGACTCTAAATCTCACTAAGTTGGCAATCAAGTTTGACGACTACACGTGTATTGCAAACAGCAAATGGGGAAGTTATATATAGCTTCTGTCAAGAATACATAAAATGCAAACTGTTTCCATATAAAATGTACTATGCCGAGGATATTAGATTAAAGAAAGCATGTTTTGAAAATTCTGCCTATATATTGTGTTGAAAGTTACATAAGCCTGATGGTGGTGCACACCTTTAATCCCAGCACTCCAGAAGGCAGAGGCAGGCAGATCTCTGTGAGTTCAAGGCCAGCCTGGTCTATAAAGCAAGTGCCAGGACAGGCTCCAAAGCTACACAGAGAAACCTTGTCTTGAAAAACAAAAAAACAAAAAGAAAGTTACAACCAACAAGTTTTGGTAATTTTATATTTTAAAATCATTTTCAGTATTTTAATAACAGGCAAGGCTATGACTGATGAAAATTTATTGCTTAGGTATTTTATTTCCCTTACCTATTTATAGACTGAAAAGTCCCGCGTGAGATGTCTTCTCCCGCTTTATCTAAAAAGCTTCTAAATAAGTAAACAAAGAGTGGTTATTAAAATTATGTCAGTTGAAGGAGCTCCAACAAAGGATTTGGAGTTCCTTCAACTGTCTTAGCTTTGGAATCCCATTCCATCTGCCTTCTGAACATGATGGAAAAGAAAGTCACCCCATTAAAACCTGTGAAAGCACATGCAGATGTGAGTTTTCATTTAGACTTGTAGTTTATAAAGTGCATTCTTTTCTTTGACATTCAGAGACTCAAGGACCTTGAGGAGGGGTCTAATGTGGAGAAAATAGCATTACAGGATCAGGGCAAGAGAGGTGAGAGAGAGGGCAACAATTGGCATACCACTTTGTTCGATATCATACGCGAGTGGATGGCTTGCACATTCTAAGTGCAGAAGGGAAATTAAAACACAATAACTACTCTATTATAGTGGTTATTGCTTTTTTTCTACCTATGAGCCATTCTCATTGAAATGAAAATCATTTAACGCTCAAAATATATTTCTGTGTATTTTCAACTTTTATCTTTTTTTGTATAAAATATATAATAAAGAAATAGGCTAGGTTGTGATGCCTAGGCCTGGCCTAACAAAACCAACATATCTGCTTGGCCTGTGTATTTAAATTATCATCTGGTAAAATGTGTTTTTTCCCCTGTATAATTGCAATCAAGCAAGGATACCAAAGACTGTATTTTAGAATATACCTATAGGATTCCCCCCCCATGAGAGAGTTTTTAATAGACTGAGAATTCGGTTGCATATCTTTCAATACATCAATCTGGCAGCACAATGGCTCTTTAGTGCCTTTATGTCTCAAGAAGAATGTGTACCTACTTGTTAGAAATCTTGGCACCTTCTCTTCTCTGTATGTCGAAGATATAATAGCTTGACATTAAAAGAACTTAGCTTCAACAAAATATACCCATTAACTGTCACATCTAAATTCTTCCTGGCAAAGAAAAAGGTACAAAGAAGAAAAATGTGAGTTTATAAGAACACAAATGAAGCTTTTTAAAATTCCTTTGATTTAACTACCTGTGTTTTATCCATTGTTCAGGAAAAGACACTCATTATGATTTTTTCATTATGCATTGCTATCATTTTATATTAAAAGTGTGTCAATGTCACCCTCTTAACATATGCATGAAATGCTTTATACTATTAAAATGTTTTATGGAATAATGCTTGGAGACAAACTATGGCAAAGGAAGGTGAGACAGTTTCCAACTTCATATCTGTAAGAGGTTTAAAACAAAATTCCCGTTATAAGAGCAAATGCACTTCATCATCTTGAAGAGGTAGAAAATATTTCCTTGGTTATTTTTTATACTGACAACTTATCTGTAATTTGAAAACGGAAGAATCATTTACCTCCCTGTGTATTGCCACCCTGTGTGGCCTGTGCAGGCTCTCATTTGTTATTATTGCACTCAGACTTGCAATACTGAGGAACAATTGCCAGAATGAGAGGCCACAGCAAGCTGGTTGAAGATGACGGGTATTTAGTTATGGTGTTAGGGCGAGCAGATGGACTCCCCAGAGCCCAGAGACACTGGGTCCTCTCCTACCTGCAAGCACCAGAGCAGGTGTGTGCTGCTGATGGGCCTGCTTCAAATGGAGCATACCACAGGTGATGCTAATTAAGGGAGCCCAGGGGCGTGGCAGGAGCAAGGCTTATTGCTGATGGTGGAGTGCCAAAGGTTAGTGAAAAGCAGGATTGTCTGCTGGCCCAGGGAAGATAAGAACACAAAGGGCAAAGAAATGGATTTGAATACAGGCACTTATCAGTGTGCCTTTTAAATTACATAATGTAGTCTATAATGACGGGCTTTTAGCCAGTAAAATTGGAAGCCCTTTCATGAATGTACTAATTTATTAACATTGATTTTTGTCACCGCTTAAGTAGTTATTCTCATTTGTTTTTGTCTCCAAGACGGAGCAGCAAGGGAACATTAGACAAATGCGCAAATAAGCAATGATCAACATAAAATTCAGATGTGTACAGTTTCAGTTTTATATAATGGAACTTTACACTCACTTTATGAAAAAAGGTGATTTCCATATTATATGAATTTAGACATTTCCGTTTTTTCTGATACACCTGTTATTTAAATAAGGTATTTATTAATGTAATCAGTACTACATTCTAGGGAATAATGTAATCGAATGCTAACTGATATTATGATCCAATGACTAATTCTCATAAATATGAACTAGAATGCATTCATGTTATATTTGCTGAATGCAACTTAAAATTTTATGTATGCTCCCCTATTGATATGTTATGCTCACTCTTAACCAATTGTATCAGTCAGAACTTTATCTAAAGAATAGGAGCTTTATCTAAAGATTCAGAAACTTATGTAATTTGAATATTATAGATTTCTGAATAATTTAATTTAAAGCTACAATTCAATCTATACACATCTCTTCAGGTGTAGGTATTCTATAATTGATCATTATGAAAGTCGATTTCAAGTTTGTTTTTGCTATCTCTGGTTGCTCAATATAAAACTACAGTGGCTTGAAAAAACTTCTCTCTGCCTAACATTTCTACTTTTGGCAGTCATGTGGTGAGTGTGATCAAATGCATATTTACTCTCCTGCAGCATCTCCTGTGACTGACTGCACCTCTGGCTGTGTTCAGTAGATGATCAGTTTCTCCTGAAGATGTGGACATAGCGGAGTGGGCCTCAATTACTCTGAGTGGGGCATCCTGTCTCATCTTGAATAACTGGAAGAACTGGGTTAGCCAGTATCTTTCTTTTTCTATCTGTCTGTCTCTTTCCTCCTCTCCTTAGGTAAGCTAATAAGATAGCTGAAGACTCAGATAAATTACATTCTGCTCTGGGATGACATTTCATTCGCCGTATTCTCTTGCTCAGAACTAGTCACTCATTAGCTAAGACTCAAAGAGGAAATAACAAACCTGGAAGCTTCATTGAAGAATAGAAGAATGGTGGATCTTACTGACGCCATCTTTAGTGCTATTCTAAATCCGCACAACCCCTTTGGGGTTTCTGTAAGAGATTGGCATATATTTTGTAGAAGTATCAACCTAGAGAACAACCAGAAAGAAAAATGTGTGTATGTGTGTGCGTGTGCATGCGTGTGTGTGTGTGTGTGTGTGCAACTCATGAAAATCACTCTGACTTCCACTAATGTAACACTAAATAAAAATAAATAAATAACCATCATTTAAAAAATTTAAATACATCTGTGAACATCAGAAGGATGCAGTAGAGTATTCTCCCTCATATTAGATGGATTTATTGAAAGAGATACAGCAAAGAGAAGTTTAAAAGACAAACATGGGGATTATAGCTGATATTTTGAAACAATAATCCTTGATTTTTAAACTCACTAATTAATAAGAGTGATGATAAGTATTTAAGCAGATGGTTGCTGTCCAGACATTCCTATACAAGTCCTTAATCTTTAAAAATTCATTATTTGAATATTTTTATCAATTTTATATAAGCCCATGATGGTCACTGTGCAGCACTGTGATCCTGGTAGTCTTTGGGATAATTCTTATCAGACAAACATGAGCAAGACTTTTCCATGATACACTTCCAATTTTGCATACTTTTCTTTCACAAAACTAATATTAAAAATTATGTGATATCATTACTGACATTTTGTCCTGATTAAGAGGATAATGATATTCCACATTAATCACTGGTTGAATGAATAAAACTGGAATCAGTCCAAGAAGGTAAATACCAAGTCAGCATTTATAGCTTCCTTTTCCCAAAGCCAGGTGAGGAGAGCTTCTCCAACCAAAAGCACATGTTAATAAATCCAAAGGAAATGTGCACATGTTTCTTAAGAAAATCTAAACTGGGATGAATGAGGAAAGAGGTTGGGGATCACGATTTTTACCCAGTTTTGCTATGTCTCCTAAATAGAGAAAGACTTCGGGCATCTTCAGAGGCCATACTCTCAGTTCATGGTCACTTTTGAGAGTGGTCATTTCAGGGGTTTTCTAGCAAAGTATGACTGAAAATCTAGTGATTGTAGTTCCCTCATACATCTGAAAGAAGTTACATCCACATCGAAAGGCTGAAAAGTGTTTTCCTTATAGAGACTTTTGTGACTATTAACATTGAAACAAGGAGTAGCAACCAAATACATATACAGCAGTTGAGAAGAGAGTTGGATATTCATTGATTTGAACTTTATCACGTCCTTAATTAAAGCACTGACACACTGTCAGGTGAACACTTGTGCAGAATAATAGAAGCAACAGCTTACCAAGTTAGCAAACTCGACCTGACTGTCTCCCATCTCCCACTGCACCTTACTCACTAGCATGCTTTTTTCTGTGTGTCTTGGATGGGTATCAGCAAATCATGGTCATTTTTTTGTAGAATCTGTGATCTACATATATTTTTAATCTGGGTGCATGCACATGCGTGTATGTATGTGTGTGTGTGCATGTGTGTATATGTGTGTGTGTGTGCATGTAAAGGCTCATAGGTGCCTATGGTAGAGGACAGAAGAAAGTATCATATCCCCAACAACTAGAGTTGCAGGTAGTGGTGAACTACCTGACCTGGATGCTGAGAACCATCGGGAAAACCAGGAAGAGTTACTAACTTTTGAGTCATCTCTTCTACCTCTTCTAGTCTAATCATTTTATTTTCCTTTACTAAATCAGCCAAGAAAATGAAAAGAGGATCAAATATGTCTATTTATGTATATTTAGTCATTTGAAAATTTTAGCGGGCATGCGTTTGTGTGTGCATGTGTATCGTCATTTACATGCTAAGGCACACTTGCGGAAGCCAAAAAGCAGCAGCAGGACTTAGCTGTCTCCTAATTCTATGTGAATTCTGGGATAAATTCAGGTCTTCAGGTTTGGTAGGAATTGTCTCTTCCCCACTGAGCCAGAAATATTATTCAGTGACAAGTTTTGTGACATTTCACCACTCTGCTGAGGATGACAGGGGTATGGGGTGTCCCATGGTCTTCTTTTCATTCAGTTTTCCCCGGTGTGCAAAGACCTGGAGTCTACAACACAATCTCCTTAGCACTTTTCTTCTTTTCCTCTCTAGACTATGATCATGATGATGTCACAGACTTAGCTCACTGTTATATACTGTCTTATCCTCATTGCTTGAGCCAAAGCAAGAATGCACTCAACATCTGGGCTCTGCCTTCCAATACCTGGGCACTGCTACAAAGCCTCCCCTCCCAGCAGGAGTCACAAACCCCATATTCCTGGTTTTCTTTTCCACCAATGGGACCAGGACTAGGACCAGGAAGAGGAGAACTACCAGAGTATTGGACTTGCTTACACCCACTGAAAGGGAACTCTGGTTCCCTAACCACCAGACCAGTATGGGGCTCTTTCTGCACCCACTAGAAGAAGAGATGGGAAAGAGAAAAAAAAAACACTCAGCAACAGAAAAACAAATATGCCACCTCCAGATTCTAGAGACTCCACACCAGTAAGACTCCAACATTCCAATGCACATGAATCAGAAGAGAATGACCTTAAAACAACTTCATGAAAAAGATAGGGGCCCTAAAAGAGGATATAGAAAAATCCCTCAAGGAAATGGAAGAAAAAGCAAACCAAAAAAATGCAAGAAATGGAAGAAAAAGCAAACCAAAAATTTCAAAATATGGACCAAATGGAAGAAAAGACAAAGCAAAAATTAGAAAAAATCAATTCAAACAGTGCAAGGGTTGAAAACTGAAATAGAGACACTAAAAAAAGACACAATCTGAAGGAAGGTTGGAAATAGAAAAGCTGGGCAAATGGTCAGGTACTACAGATGCAAGCATAACCAACAGAATACAAGAGATGGGAGAGAGAATCTCAGCTGCTGAAGATACACTAGGAGAAATTGATTCATAGACCAAAGACAATCTTAAGTCCAACAAATACCTAATACAAATCATCCAGGAAATATGGGATACCATGTAAAGACCAAACCT